GCGCAATATGGTTCATGGGGTCACGAAGAGTCGGACACGACTTAATGACTAAACAACAACAACCTTGCCCCCCCATCATCTTGAATGTTTTTAGTATTTATGTACCGGGTTGGTTTGTTTAGATCATTTTTAATGGATTATTTATTTAACTATTTATGGGGGGATTTTTACTTGTTGATGAGGTTTCTGATTTTAATTGTGAGCCGCCCAAAGTTACCCAATGTGGGGAGATGGGCGGCATACAAATTTAATAATAAATAAATAAATAAATAATAGTGAAGACCAAATTACAATCCCATGTATTATTTGGGATTGAAATATTGATTTTACGCTATTATTTATTTTTAAGATTTCTATGTTGCTCCATTATAGACTAGAAATATAATACTTAGAAATTCTTGATCAACTAAATAGGGTTTCAAAGTAGAATCATGAGAATGATATTAGGTGTTTCTAGATGTACACCATCTATTATTTTGAGAATGGAAACTGAGCCTTGTTTATTGGTTATAGTAGCATATCAATAAATTTTGGACTAGTGCTTAAAACTCATGCCTGAATGTAGGTTATTTAAATTATGCTATATGGAACAACTAGCTTATATCTATCAAAGAAATAGCTCCTGGTCAGCACAGTTCTCCACCTCATTTCAAAAATTTGGTTTATCTAATTCATAGTTCTCTTAATATAAGAACAGATAAAGACAGAATTCAGAGGGAAAATTAGTAGTGTCCTTACAGTGATTTGGCCTCTTTGAATTAAAAAGGGCAGCTCCGTGGTATAATAGTTTAAAATAGAAACCAAGAACTGAGGCTTATCTTTCTATATTAAACAGAGTTTCTGAAAAAGGTATACAATAACTAGAATTCAGCTGATGCCATCTGATGCATGGCAGGGGCAATATGCAACAATTATTCAACTATGATATCAGAAATAGCAATATCAGCAATGGTGAAATATTTCAATTCCACAATATAAAATTCCATTTCTGGAAGAAAAAGAGTAAAGCTGATCAATTTTATTGTGAGATAGAACTTATTAGATTTAGTACTATTTCTCATGGATTAAAAGATCAACGTTTCTTATTCCACGATCATGATGTTGAATAGGAACACACCATTTAGCTGAACCCAGATTGACAAATGAGACCCAGTTTGGTGTAGTGGTTAAGGCATCAGGCTAGAAATTGGGAGATTGAGTTCTAGTCCTGTCTTTGGCACGAAGCCAACTAGGTGAATTTGGGCTAGTCACTGTCTCTCAGCCCTAGGAAGAAGGCAGTGGCAAACCACTTCCAAAATCTTGCCAAGAAAACCGCAGACTTGTCCAGGCAGTTGCCAGGAGTCAACACTGACTTGAAGGTGTGCGCATGTGCACACACATATTGTCAAATAGAGGGATCAGGGCTTTTTCAACAGTGAAGTGTTCAGAACCTTTCTCCTTCTCCCCATCCATTTGAACTTGCTAATCCTATTTTAAGTTAAGTTAAAAGTATTTTAAATAATGCAAGTACTTTTATTTTGAGGAAAAGAAAATCTTGACCTGATGTTTTTATTTATGTTGTCTCTTTTTAAATCATATCAGTCCTTGTTCTTATGTTTTTAAATTTCTTTTTGTGTTTTTATTGTTCTACTATAAGCAATTCTTGAACCTTAGTTAAGCGATGCAGCACAGCTAAAATAGATTTATCTCCTTCATCTCTGTAGGCTAATCTCCAGGCCTTTCTCATCTCATCTGCTTGCCACCTGATCTCCTCCCTTTTCTACCTCCTATCCCCTTCTATTTCTTCCCTCTATTAGCAGTCAGGAGAAGCCAACATATCCAAATTAGGCAACCACTCCCTCTTTCCCATACACACTGGGATTTTGTCTACAGTCACAAGCATGTTAATGTGACTATTATTTTTCTAACCTATACTCTTAAGTACAAACAATTTACACTTGAAGCCCAAGTCAGCTGGGCCCATTTTATATCACTCTCTCAATAATCAATTTCTTCCCTTAATGGCTATTAACACCAGTCATTTATGGTGCCAAGCACAGCAAATCTACCTAACTAGACAATTATGTCTTCCTTCCAATATGCCACAATCAGGTTCTCCATTATTGTCTTATCTGGGCAGCTTTGTTGTATTCCTCTTCAAAATCAAAGCATGTCCTGCTTAAGAGCGAGCAAAAGGTTAGACATGAGTCTCATCCTATGTTTCTTTCTGTAAGTTCTACAGGGCTGTCTTTTCAAGCTGAATGTGCATAGGCCTGCGTATTTCCAGGGGAGCAGGACTTTTCCAAATCTGATTCCATTCCTGGCCTTCGCATGTTTCAGGTTTTAAGCATGTACCACTCCCACAAATATTTCCATTATTTTCAAAGTCCTGGGAGGGGGGAGGGAGGGAAGGATGGAGGGAAGTGACAAAATGTGCATCAGCGCAAGTGCCACCTCTTTTATACTTATATGTAAGGTCACAACAAAAGTTCAAAAGGGCAGTTCTTTCATTGTGACTTGCAATACTTTTCATTATTTCGGCAACTTCATGGTTAGGAAGGGACATCTGTGTTTACTTTGCAGTTTGCTTGCTGTATTATTTGAAAATGAAGACTGTCCTATTAAAATTACTTAAAGCAAGCTAAAGTATTTAAGCGAATCAGTTTGGTGTAGTGGTTACAGCATCAGGCTAAAATCAGGAGACTATGAGTTCTAGTCCTGCCTTAAGCAAAAAATCAGCTAGGTCACTCTCTCTCAGCCCTAGAAAGAAGGCACTGGCAAACCATTTCTGAAATCTTGCCAAGAAAACTGCAGGGACTTGTCAAGGCGCTTGCCAGGAGACAACACTGACCCAAAGACACACAAAAAGTATTTATATGAGAATGAGTCGTGGCTCTTGTTCCTTTTTTGCTTGCCAATGAATTTTGTGCACCTTTATAAACTTAATGGAAGGTTGAATTCCATTCCTGCAAATTTATGTCATCACAAGGATATTACACCAATCAATTATATCCACAGCAGACAAAAACTTTTAGGATATCAGATTTTAGCACTAGTGGTAAGCCAAAAAGGAACAAGATTCAAAGTAGCTAATGCAAACGTTGAGAGGTTTTAGATTTTTTTATCCTGTCATTATTTTTATAAAAAACTCAAGGCAGCAAACATACCTAACATTCCTTCCCCCTCCTATTTTCCCCAAGTACTTCAGTGAGTCACAAATGACAAGGCATACACTTGGATCTGGTTCCAGATTTCTTTACCATTCTAGTTTTCAATACTGTACCTGTATGCCTTTTTAAAAATAGGGCCTTTTTATATCATTTTTAAAAGCCTAT